TCTCGAATTGAATGCCATGTTGCATCATCAATTTTGTAGTGATCAAGATGCAATAATGTAGGATGAAGGTTAGAACAAATACTTAACTCCACTACATTTATATTGACTTCGAAAGACTCCTACTTGTAGGAAAGGACAAATAGACGAGTGTTTTTGATATCGTTGCCTAGAGGAATATTGAATCTTAATTAGTTACTCGTTAGTTATTAAGCAGTTAGAAACTAATTCAAGAGTAATTACCCCCTTTATAATATTCTGAACTTCAGGCGGCCTCCTTGGGCTAAGTGGTATAATATAGGTATGCCCACCCTCACCTGACTCGGATATTCAGGAAGAGTAAGAGAATATTCAATTTTATGAGTAATCAATCGTGTTTGCATGCCATTTGTTAGAACAGTAGGAATTACTTCCTAATAACTAGTTAGTAACTAGTTATCAACTAATTATAATCACAAATGTAATATAATAATGGCAAACCTGATCGATTTCATTAAAATTCTCAGCATCTGAGCCCTCATCCTGGCTGAGGTAGGCAACATCACTCGTAGTACTCATCTTTGTATAATGGAAACTAGTATATAACTAGTTATGAAGCACTTAGAAACTGGTTGTGTTTTTTCGAAATTCTGCCGCGGACGGAAATGGAATAGGGAGATGGTAAAGTAATGAAAAATTTAGGTCGCGCAACATGGATTAAATACAAAGCTGTTGGCGGGAGGTCAGCTGACCTCCAAAGGCGGTTAGGCTTGTTGCGCGAGGTTTGCCCCACGTGCGACTGACCTGTAGTCACTATAATTAGTTGATAACTAGTTACTAACTAGTTATTAGGAAGTAATTCCTACTGTTCTAACAAATGGCATGCAAACACGATTGATTACTCATAAAATTGAATATTCTCTTACTCTTCCTGAATATCCGGAGTCAGGTGAGGGTGGGCATACCTATATTATACCACTTAGCCCAAGGAGGCCGCCTGAAGTTCAGAATATTATAAAGGGGTAATTACTCTTGAATTAGTTTCTAACTGCTTAATAACTAGTTATTAACTAATTAAGATTCAATATTCCTCTAGGCAACGATATCAAAAACACTCGTCTATTTGTCCTTTCCTACAAGTAGGAGTCTTTCGAAGTCAATATAAATGTAGTGGAGTTAAGATTTGTTCTAACCTTCATCCTACATTATTGCATCTTGATCACTACAAAATTGATGATGCAACATGGCATTCAATTCGAGATATAAGAAAAAGTACTTGAGTCAAGTGAAGAGGATATCAGAAAGCGAAAGGCATATGGGTAATACTTGTTGCTAACTAGTTGTTAACTAGCTGCTAACTAGTTAATTACTAGGCTTTATAATGGTATTCAGCGTGCCTTTAAAAGGCACTCAGCATGTCATTCATGGCTGGAGAGTTGCTCTCCTGTTTTCAAATGGCCAGCTCAGCAGGTTAGTAACTGGTTATAAACCGCTTAAGAACTGCTACCAAACTAGTTATTAACTAATTACAGACTGTTGCAGGTGTCTATCATCCTTATATTACTTGCAGCAATTCCACTCCTACCAACTATAAGGATCATTTTTTTCAATCTTTAGCATTTCGAACAGATACTGATCTCAATTTTCTGTCCAATATTTTTACTCAGAATATTACTCCTGTATCTGGAAGTTGTGGAGTAATTGAGGGAGTTCACACACGTCGAGGACATTGTGGTAAGAACTGCTTTTAACTAGTTATTAACCACTTGCTAACCACTTTATAAATGCTTATAGGATTTGACCATCCTAACGGTGTACAAGATCTGAAGATTATGCCTTGTGATGTTGTATTTAATATTCTTATACCAAAGGATATACTTGAATGTCCTTTTATGCTTTTTACATCACATGGAAAGCATATACATCCTCCACCTCCACCTTCTAAAGCACCACCTGAAATTATGAGTGATATTCGAAAGCTGATCCAGGACCTTAAAGATCCTGAGCTGAAATTAAGTACGTTCAATATTTTACTAGTTGCTAACTAGTTTTTAACTACTTACAAAGTACTTATAAACTAGTTACTAATACCTACTTAGCTACGTTTCTACGAAGCCCTCAGCTGCAAGACCTCTGTCAAAACTATAATTGTAATAGTTTAACAGAGATTCATCCAAGTTTTGCAAATATGGATCGTTTTTCACTTTTGATTTATAAGGAGCGACTGGCCTTATACCCTCAAGGACAGTACCTAAACGGACTTCAATTTCAAATGGAGCGGAATTCTCAGCTGAAGGTAAGATATCTATATACTAGTTCTTAACTAGTTTTAAAACAGTTACTAACTAATTTTAATTGCTAGGAGTATGTTCACCGTATTCTTAATACAGAAGAAACCACAATAATTATATGTGGACTAAAAAGAGCAAATTATGCTTCTTAAGTCACTTACCTCGTTTGAAATTGATATGAGTTATAAAAGAATACGTGCAAACAAGCTAAAGGAAGTAATATTTGCTGCATTTCTTCCTGAGCATGGGAAAAAAAAGTAGTTCTAAAGTAGTTTTTAACCAGTTACAAACTAGTTATTAACTACTTTATAGTTATTACCCTGCTTCGTGCTCTTACAAATCGTGAAGATGCTGAAGGCTATAAGCTTTTTTATTTCAGACTGTTTTGATGTTATTCAAGATGTTTCTGGATCTGAAGTACAATTTAAGTATCTTCATGGATCTGGGATTGAGAGCCTTGTAGTTGATATGGATGACGGACAGATAAAAGGTAATTTTTAGTTTAAGCACCTTATAACTAATTAAATACTGCTTGCTAACTGGTTATTAATAAGGACTTGGTCAATATCTTACTTCTGTTGACCCAGATCACCGCCCAGCTGAGTTTCATTTAATGAATATACTAATATTCTGTCGAGTGCACTTTTAAGAGGAATTGATCAAACTATCGGCCGCCAGAAGCGTGGAACAGAGCTTTTTTTAATCGCATGGCATCTTTATTAGATTGTCAAAGTCAATCAGATTACTATGATCTGATTCAGCAACTTTTAAGTATATCTAACTAATTTCCAAGTACTTATAAACTAGTTGCTAACTGATTCATAACCAGTTTACGAAAATAATGATGAGAAGATCCAACAATGGGCAGCTCATAAAGCTGACCCAGTTATTGCAGCTGGTCTTAATAGATTCTGTTCTAGAATGGATTCTAGTATTTTCAAAAGGCTATACCTCATACCAATGCTGGAGAACAGTCACATCAAAAGGGATATATGTGGGGAAAAAACTTTCTTTAGTTAAAGCTGTGGAAAGGTATGTTTTTACTAGTTATTAACTGCTTTTGACTAGTTACTAACTAGTTAAATAGGGCTTACCAACTTGATTCCCGAGATGTGGATCAGTATCTAAGCCGAAATAATTATAATATTCATCATTCCTATCGTACGGACACTATTGCCCAGCGGTATGCAAATAGCCTGATCAGAGAACGTAAGTATTAGTAATTAGTTCCAAACCAGTTTGTAACCAGTTACTAAATAGTTATTTAGAGCGAAAACGCCGTCGACAATCATCGAATTCCTCATTACAGGCCCCGATTGATACCATCGAGGAACCTATACAGCCTTATACCTCTTCAGGTTCTCCATTTTCATCTCATACAAGATCTACATCTAGATCCAGATCTAGATCGAGTTCAAGATCTAGTTCAAGGTCTAGTTCACGGTCTAGTTCAAGGTCAAGAGGTCAAACTCCATCTAGGCAACGAGGCTCAAGGTAAGCTTAAATCAGTTAGAAACTAGCTTGTAACCAGTTACTAACCAGTTACCTAGACGGAGAGGCTCATCGCTTCGCCAGGTTGCTTCTGAAAACAGCATAAATCAGCGCTACCATCAACGACAATTAGATTTAAACATTCGATGGCGGGAAGCTCAGTTAGCAAGATATGAAGCAATTACACAGCTGTCACTTTCTCAGGGTATTATTCCACCTCCAGTGACTAGCATGCCGTCAGGAACTGGGACCGAACTGGTTAATAACCAGTTATTAACTAGTTCTCCCTCTCTACCGCCGCATTTTTTTGAATACGATAGTCCTGATAGTCCTAATTAGACTGAGAATTCTATAGGTTCTTTGAATAACTGCTGAATTATATAATTTAAAGTTATAAATTATCCCTTTCTATTAGTGTTCTGTTCCGAATTGTAGCTTCCTGTGTTAATATATATATATATCTTCCGACCGCTATACACCTTCTTCTTGTTATCTCTGCTTATCTGTCGGGAACCCTATATATTTTACTACAGCCCCGAAGGCTTTTAGTTCTCTCCTTTATAAACACCTTCCTGCTTTCGCTATAAAATAATAACTATAGTATTTGGTGTTGCTGTGAAGTAGCTAGTTAAAGCGGTGTAGGGATATGGTAAGGTAATAAAAATTTAGGTCGCGCAACATGGATTAAATACGGAGCTCTTGGCGGGAGGTCAGCTGACCTCCAAAGGCGGTTAGGCTTGTTGCGCGAGGTTTGCCCCACGTGCGACTGACCTGTGTCCTGCTAATTATAATCACAAATGTAATATAATAATGGCAAACCTGATCGATTTCATTAAAATTCTCAGCATCTGAGCCCTCATCCTGGCTGAGGTAGGCAACATCACTCGTAGTACTCATCTTTGTATAATGGAAACTAGTATATAACTAGTTATGAAGCACTTAGAAACTGGTTGTGTTTTTTCGAAATTCTGCCGCGGACGGAAATGGAATAGGGAGATGGTAAAGTAATGAAAAATTTAGGTCGCGCAACATGGATTAAATACAAAGCTGTTGGCGGGAGGTCAGCTGACCTCCAAAGGCGGTTAGGCTTGTTGCGCGAGGTTTGCCCCACGTGCGACTGACCTGTAGTCACTGAAAAAAGGCTAATACAATACCTATCGTTGTCTATCGTGTCTTGGGTTTGTAAAGCACGCAGTAGGGCTGACTATCATTTATGCTCAATGTAGACGACAAGAAAACCCTTCAATGCTTAGATATATTCACAGATATTTCATGCTCCAGGCTTGCAAGAACAAATGAGGCGGAGCCATGCACGCTGTTGTAGAGGAGAGGCTGGTGAACATAATACTAGAGTTGCACGTCATGTCAGCTGTATACCTTTAAACAGTGTTCTGTTTTGGTAAATTACCTCATAAGTGGCGGTCGAATTTAGACTACAAACTGACACCGTTCCGCTGTAACCCAATGTCCCGTTCTTGTTGTCTACCACAAAATTCTGGACTAGATGGCGATAGCAGTTACTTGCGAGAGTTGTGGGCCGCGGATTTTTATCAGGGAGGTCTTTCAAGTAGCCGAGTCGTGCGCCTTTGTAGAGCGCATACGTGAACATAGCCGATCCACTAGACTCGATGTAATTACCCTCTCTTCTCGGGTCCGTCATGACTTGCCACCAGCAACCAGTGTCCGGATCTACGGCTGCCATGACTGCGTTGGAAAGAGCCATAAATCGCTGGTGGATGTGATCCCACTGGTCCTGACTGAGAACAGCTTGTGCGTGAGAGAGCTCCAGAATGTCTACCAAAGCCATCATATACCACCCCAAAGAGCGGATCCAGACAATTGGACTTGCGCCCGTGACTAAGTTTGCCCATACAGCTGTTTCCGATGCATCGTATCCATGGACCAACAGCCCTGTGCTGTTCTGCCGGCAATGAGACCAGAGGAGGTCGAGTTGGTAAACGAGATCCTTGGCTACGGCAGTGCGATTAGCCGACGCAAAACGGGCCGTGTAGGTAGAGTAGAAAGGGATGAGGGAATACATCCCATCCAGATAGCTCCAGTTTGGATACTTGTAGTACCAGTAGCCGCCTAGACATCCGTTAGCAACATGACAACTGAACAATGTATACAATTTTCTATTGAGAGACACGAAAATGACAGTTATATCTCGTTTTTCATATTCTTTTTTTTTTGGCCTTATATTTATATCTACTTACCGTACTTATTTCTAGGCTGCAGATCAATAGACTGACGCAATGCATCAAGCACTGCCTTGTATGTTTCATTTTGTGTGGTCTCATATCTATCTGCTTATCAGCCGCTACTGTTTGCCCGTAAAGTAATGGCAGTTGCCTGTTTAGAGAACAGGGCCAGTTGAGTTTAGTCAAGAGAACTCACAGGTATAACAAGGCATTTCCATCCGAGAATCGATCGAGAGGATATTGAGTGTCCCGAGTGGAATTTAGAAGCCAGGAAGTGACACTCTGTGTACTTTCTACCAGGTAGTCGTCCCAATCTCCATGTGCACACGCCTCTTCGGGGGTACCATAATATTCCTTCAATCGAAGAATAGCATTCTGAAAAATACCCACTTGGAGAAAGATTGACGCTTCCGGTGTTGTTCCTGGAGGCAGGATGGCTTGTCCACGAGAGATGACACTATCAGCCATCCACGCAGAATAAGGACGCGCGTCCGCATTACAAGAAGATGACGCTGGCTCTGCTGCTGAGTCACAAGGGAGAAGGAACCAGGCGAATAGAGAACACAGTATGGATGCTTTGAGGTTAGCCATGGTAAAGGCCTTTCAACGTGGTCTTCGGATTTGCTAGGTAGAGAAGTCGGAATGCAAAAGTTGGAATCTAGGGGGGCGAAGCCGATCTTTAGGTAATGCTCCGGCCGCCCCGTCAGAACCAAATCCGGGTGGGTGTGGCAAAACTCGGCCCCGAATCATAGGAGGCCATGGGGCCCTCTGCCATGTGGTATGGAGAATTTGCTGCCAATGCCTGCCAGTTCTATGTGGTTTGGGTTTACGGAGTGAGACAATCGTGAATTATATTAAAATTAGTGCAACTTTCACGCTCCAGACAACGACATGGTCAGTAGATGGTCCACAAAATTTAGAGTTGGACCAATACGGTTTGTCCAATCCCACACCGGCAGCATAGTTAGGTATAGTTAGTCAAAAGTTTAAATAATCGCGCTTACCAAACGAGTCAGAAAACCTCATTATTCAAACACTAAATATGAGACTAGACACCTAGAAGGGCTCCCTTGAGCCCCTTAAGTGTTCATATTAAGCGTAATCAACAGCCGGATCCAACCAAGCGAGCTTATATACAGGGATTTTATGAAGGTTGCAAAAATCCTACCGAAATTGCAAGGCTTTTAAATCGGCCCCGCGGCCCCGCCAAAGTATATCCAGCCTGTTTCTCCAACTGCTTCCTAAATATATCCTATATTGTATTATTAAATACGATACGTAAGGCACTTTCTGCGGTTGCTGCGATACGTGTTTGGTGTATTTTTAGATATTCTTAATAGTGTACTAAGGCTAGTGTATCTACATATTGTAGTGAAGGAATTCGAGGGTTTGGCACGTGACATTTGTATAGATGGTTATTATCTTAAGTCCTCGTTCGAAGAGGTAATAGACAATCAACAACCTCCTCACAGACCACGGGACGCAGTTGCGTAAAGGGCATGTTGTCTTTTCTCCTGCCAGGAACTTGTGGGCTCGGGGCCCACAACTTCTGAACTGTCTAAGATTGTCTCCTTGACCTACTCCTTCGGAGTTCTACCATTTCCCTCTCATTCAATATGAGGTACAGTTCTTGTAATAGTAAATCATTTACTTATATTTATTTTTTATATCTTCACACTTATTTAGAGGTCACGTATGTTCCTATAAGACATTATTAGAATATTTTTTCTTTTGCTGAGGCTTGGCTGTTGATGTAATAAAGGATATAGATCTTTGGTATTCTAAGCTCTGTAACCTTAGTAAGTTTAGATACTGAGCTCACAAAGTGGAATTTATCATGAGGTGCTGTAGATATTTTTATGGTGCATTTACAGCTCTTAATAGAACCTAGAGATTAGACTTCTAGGAAAGCGAAAGTCTGCAAAACCTAGAACACACTAGTAAATCTTAAACAGAAACAAGTGAAACTAATTCAAACAGGTTAATAAGTACTAAGTTGTTTCAGTGAACAAAATAGTGAGCATCTTTAGACAATCTTAGTAACTAATAGAACGAGGCGGCCACAGTCTGTTGCCTTTAATAGCCTGCCAATTTGATACATAGAACAGCGGCATTATGCACATGTGTTTTCGTGGCTGTGATGCCATTGGGGACGACTTCATAATATACCGCAGCGAGAAAAACAGTATTATACTTTTAATCGATACAATCTACCCAATTGTTGTATAGGGAATTTTATCATTACTCCAAACGAAGATAAAGTCAAAAAGAGCAAAGAAAAAAAAAAAAAAAAGAAAGAAAGAAAATAGAAGAAGAAGAAAGAAAGAAGGAAAGAAAATAAGAATGCCACCTTGTGAATATGTAGACAGGACCTGATATCCATGGAACTTGAATACCTGGCCAATGCCACCCCAAGTGGCGTGATACAGTGTCTGCTGTTTCGTTTAATGCTGTGTCTCTTAACCGATCGGGTACTGTGAATGGAAATGTTCTATCTAAATTATCAAAATTTCAACAAGACTTCTATATTGTAAGGTGTAGTTTTTCTGACCGCCGACTCGGCGAGCTCTAAAAAAAGTCGTTGGAACACCCTCCCCTTTAACAGGGTCCCTAATTTCGGGCCAATCAGGCAGATATACTGGCGCAGTAATCTACCTCTCTTTTCGTCCAGTGCGTCCATAAAATCTCAAAATTGCCTTCAGGAATCCTTTGAACCCTGTCGGCTTGTTAAATGGGCTAAAAGGAGAAGAGAACTGTCCTGAGCTCACTGGTAGTCACGAATCTTAAATTCACCACCCAAGGGTATCAGGGAGATCTAGCTATACTAAATCGCTTGGCCATTTGATATGACCTTTTACTGAAATATAAATTACTTCGGAGGTCGCCAATTATTTTCTGGAATTCTGGATCAGTGGTACTCTCGGAACTTATTCAGAGCCAGACAGTACGAACTGTTACAAAACGTTCAGAATAGTCCTAACCGTGCTTATCACTATCCTTAGCCTGTTAGCTAGAGCTTTTTTTTACATGACGCTTTGTAGCACCTTTCTAGAACATAATAAATGTTCCCCAATCTATAATTAATAAGCTCTATCCGGAACGGAGATAGGACTTAAGACGAAATGGCGAACCTCCCCAAAAAACATCCAATTGTTATATCTTGAATAATTGTTTAATTAGATGCAGACTGTTATTATGGTGCAGGAGCAAGCGCATACCTTTCTCCAACCCCTGTTGTCAAGCTTTTTTGCTAACGCCACTCATATCGTAATATAAACCATGGTCCTTTGCTCTAAATTCCAAGTCTTTAGACCCCTAAATCCTTTCTTTTTTTACTCCATCATCCTCACGAACCCTTCAACTATTTAACATAAAATATGTGCAGCTCAGAAGCAGTGGTCTTTGCATCGCCCTAATTGGTGTAGGATGCATAAGTTGTGGAGACCCTGAGGGCCGATTTAAATAGTTAATTCCCGAAGACGATGCACTACCTGTCCTTAACCACTGCTATAAATCCGGTCTCAACTTCAACACGGCAAATACCTATTCCAACGGCTTGTTGGAAGAGATTTTGGGCAAGGCTATCAAGAAATACAACTGGCGCCGAGAAAATATTGTAATCGCAACCAAGCTATGGGCACCAGTCGGTGGCGGCGCTGAGAAACCGATGGTAATAAGTGATGACGAAAAGAATAACTTATGCTATGTTAACCAGTACAGCTGAGCCGAAAGCATATATTTGAAAGCCTGGATGAAAGCTTAAAGAGCCTCGATCTGCCGTACTGTTATGTGTGGGGTTGGTAACGAGCTGAACGGGGTGCTACGGTGCGAAAGGAAGTGTCTATATGGGAGAGAAGATAAAACCACGTATATTGCAGAACTAATCGCTGGCCTTCAAGAGTTCAGGCCCGCGGGTGCGAATATAAACACTTCGCACCTGACTAAGCATCTTAGCTAAGGATCTAGCTATCGCGCTTCTGAGCGCTTCTAACACATACATCGATCTGCTGCAGATCCACCTGGTATTTAGTACTTATTATTCCAGTATACAACATCAAGTGCAACTGGGACTTGTTTCTTAGTAATAGAATTACTATTGTGTTCACCGTTTTTGTCCTCTGATATTTTGGAGTGTGTTTTGTTCCATTGAGTGTACAATTAACATAACGCTTGCCAGTTAGTAGCTAAGTAAAGAACTTATATTGGGCTCTTTTGTTCACGTGATTTTGCAGCTTTCGGCGTATTTTTGGGTCCGTGATGCCCGACCAATCCTCATCATGTCAGGCACGGAGACGCTGCGATAATGATAGTAAAGCAATCTGCTTTTCTAGAGGTCCCTCCACATTCCGGTTCATTTCTGGGGTCAAGTATTATGTTACACAGAAATTGTCTTTTCACATCAAAGATTCATGCACATTTATAACAGGACGATATGACCTCTAGCGGAGGGTGAATGCGCTTATATGTAGGAATAGGAAAGGTGTAAACAGTAAAGGGAACAAATTCTTGGCGAATGAGCTAGACTTGGAAGTCTATTTATAATTGTAAGTTCATCTAATCACACCTAGGCCCATGGGCCCACTCTCTCATCAAATTTCATGGCGCTTAGCTGTATTAAGGTCTAGTTATTAGGCAATCTCAGCATTCGGCTGACGGTTATGGACTATAAAATGCGTTTGATACCTTCCCGGTCTGAAGCTATAGACGTTGATAACTAAACAGCCTACCTTTAACATAGTCGACATTTGCCCATTTAGTAGTAGAGATCCCTTACTGGGGTGGTCAGGGTAGAGTACCCTTGAAGTTTAAGAAGGGATCAGTAATATATAAATACTCTGATACAACCTTCATCAGTGAAATAAGGAGACTTCAAAGATACTACTACAAGACTCCTATATCTTCAAGTACGTTGTATCATGCTACGAAATATTGTTTTATAGGCCTACCTTGTTACAGCCTTCACACTTTGCACATTTGCCTAAGGCCTGTCTTCACCGGCATGCCATCCTACCCTGCCAACAAGACCGAACAAGTTCTTGACAGGGTTTCGACTTATACACAAATACAGATCTCTCCATTGCCACAGAAATGGAATATGACCTATACTATACCTACGACTCTGATAATGACAACTTCACCCTTATGGGCACCCAGTGCCACGGAAAACCAGTCCAGAACCCCCTGTCTACTGCTCAATTGATGACATCCCTACTTTAAGCATGACCACAATCATAAGCACCATGAGCAGTCTGGTGAATGAGTTCACCACAATAGGTACAATGCGATAAGTCTTGGCCCTTTTCTTTTCCCGTTCTTGCCAACTGATTTGGTATAATGTCCTAGGAATTTGTTCTCTACGCTGAGTGTCTCCCGTCGCTCTACCTGCTGCCGCAGGGTCTTCGGATATTCCAACGGGAGGTTGAGGCCATCAAGACCACACCCGGCCTGGTTCCCAACTTCATATGCTACCAGTTGCAGAGGAATCATATCGCATTCACGAGACAAAGAGGCAGTAATGCCCTGGGTATCGGGCAAGTTGAACCCTATGTGCTTCCGACCCTATATCTTAGGCAGGCTTTCCTCCTACATGGCTACTAACGGGCCTTTTAGCTATCTTAATATCTACCGCATGGTCTCACGGGACTGATGGCGCTGCTGTTACTGGAATGACCGCAAACACCATCCGAAGAATTCAAGCAGCCCAGAATCTGGGCATTGAGAACAAGTATTTGTACGTCAGCTACGCGTCGGCTGAGCAGGCCAACGAGGTATGAGCTGGTTACGGTGAAGAAAAGTTGCAAAGGCTCAGGGATATTCAAAAGGTGGTGGACCTTCATGGAATCTTAATCTAAAGGCCTATGGCGGGGGTTTGTCAAATTGCTTTAGTTGCACGGCGAGATTTGCTTACATATTTCTTACATCGAAAGTGGCATTTACATAGGCAGTGTTAAAGATTATCTAGCTACCATGGTGACGAAAGGTCGTTAAATAAAACCTTGGCAAACATACCATTTCTTCACATATGTATCATCAAAGTCCGAGAATTGGTTCATTTGGAAGTAATAATATGTCTGAATGAGTGTTGGTTATATCACGAGAGCGGGTTCTTTCAGCTTCGATCATACTTCAGCAATATATAAATCTAGAGCCGCAGCGACAATATTTCTTCTATCCAAAGTTGTTGAAACTCGACACCTGGACAGGCGTCGTACAAGAGGAGATCACCTGGTTCTTCTGAACCCTATCCGCTTATCACACGCAAATTAATTTACGTAGGGGAGTTAGTATGATAATTTGGGGGTAGATTTTATTGAAGACGAGTGCGCATAGCCTAATCTTGGATAGTAGATGGGGCTCCAGAATCAGAATATGAGCGAAGGTCACCATGCGACACAAAAGTACTCGAGAACCATGCCTTATAACCAGAACATGTATTGTGAAATAATCCATAAGAGGTTTAAAATGACAGTGAACTGTAGAGCTATATCATAATAGGAAGGTTGGGTGGTTATAGATTGTGCAATGAACATTGGGAGAGTCTCCAGGATTATTCATATGAAGCCTCGATATTGTTCCCGGCTGGATCGAGGACAAAAGCAGCGTAGTATGTGGGTGAGTTGTATTCAGGCCGCGGGCCTGGGGGTCCATTACAAGTACCGCCAGCTTTAATACCCGCTGAATAAAAGGCATCGACTGTGGCGTGGTCTGAGACATTCATTAGCCAACCTTTATTGGATAGACAAACTCCAGGGAGAGAGAATAAGGGGTAAGTCCTATAGATAGAGTAAGGGGGTACTAAGAGCTAAGAAATGCAAACACTTACCCTCGGCTTTAAAAGCGAGGTGTACCTTTTGGTTGGTGGGGACTTCTTTGTCGGCAGTAAGGAAGAATTCTGGACGGCCAACACCCAGGCCAACACAGTTCTCGATGGGTCGCATCATCTCTTTATATCCCAGTGGTTTCAGAGAAGACAGATAAAAAGCAAGGGTAGCAGAAAAAATCCTAGGCGGCACCCGAATGCCAATATGGTCAAACCCCATATTGAAAGAAAGGCAGCGTAATTGACTAGTTAAAAGCGTTAAACTTGAAAATCACATAAAGAGGGGATACGGTGTTATATTCAATGCTCTGGGTAGGAAGTGGGACATGTAAAAGTATATAAAGAATATAGCGCAAGGTCATTCTGTTGTATATATATGTCATTAAGAAACTTTCTTGGCGTGATATAAAGAAAGAAAGTCTATATAAGTCTAGGTCTGGTCGCTGTCTTACCGGTGATTTAATGAGCTCTTGTTGAGCTAATAAAGAAGGTTTCTCCAACCCATACATCTCCATTCCCGGTCGTACCGGGAAGTAAGTTTAACGCATGCTGAACCAAGGGTTTTATATTCCTACTTCTTATTCAGACCCTACTAGTAAAACTTTCCCTATTAACCAATGATCTATCTTGAAATTAGCTTACAGAGTTTCATAGTATCCATATTTTCCATCTCCACTTAGTTGGTCCACACATTCAAGCGCTTGGCGATATTACTCATCATGGATGTTGAAGTTAGCAATAAACTGTTCAACAAGCATGATAGAAGCTAATGTAGGAGAGTTTATAAGGAAGCAGAGAGAGAAACGTGAAATAGCGTATCTTATTTATCCGTCCTGCTCCTTGCTCAAGGCAACAAATTTCATTGGGAGGAATCGAGGAGTTCTTTTTATTCTTGACATTAAGGTTGCATTTCTACAGAGTATACTCAATAAAATGCAGGCATCACATGAATGGATGCACTTAATCGCCAAGAGCCAACATTAGCTATTAGCCTCTTAGAGAGAGAAGTTTATCCAACTTGACTCTCATAATAGAACAAAGCACTTGTAAATATTTCTGTGCTAGTTGCACTTAATGTTGGTTTCAGATTCTCGAAACGCGGAATTATTCAATTTTAAATGGAAGGAATCTGTGATATTATGAGTGAAGAGTGAGGAATGTGCACTCGCAGAGAACTCAGTGAAATCTACGCGCGTTTCACGTTATGCAGTGCTAGGTTAGACAAGAAAATATACAGAAGTACTATGTAATCAGCTAGTATAACTGGATCTTCCTGCTTCCTTTCCTCCTTATCTTTAGTGTCCTTGATATATGACTCACTGTGATTTTATTGACCCAATTTATCTGTCATCACAGTATCCAGTTTGATCCCACTGTAAAGGGCTAGAGCCCGTTTGACCTCTCGGGCCAATGTCCCTACTGTCGCCATTGTCCCTATTGTCCCTACTGTCCCCGTTGTCCCTATTGTCCCTATTGTCCCTATTGTCCCTATTGTCCCTACTGTCCCTTTTGGCCCTGTTGGCCCTTTGGGCCATTGGCCCTCGATCCCTGTCACGTGACTCCCCATCTTGTTTGTTTACCGCTCATTTTCCTCTTCCTTTCTTCCCTCCTTCAACGATTCCTTCTTGTACATAACCTATCTGTAGGTTCTACGGGTTCAGCCCTTGACACCCACACAGAAATACCATTATATGTTCACGAAGTCTACTGGCTCCACAGCATGAATTGTTTGGCACCAACGCAAATATTATTGCACTGCTAGGTGTCAAGGGCTGAACCCGTAGAACCTATGAGATAGGTTATGTACAAGAAGGAATCGTTGAAGAAAGGAAGGAAGAGGAAATGAGCGGTAAACAAACAATGAGAAAAGTCACGTGACATATGGATCGAGGGCCGATGGGCCAAACGGTGCCAACAGGGCCAAAAGGGACAGTAGGGACAATAGGGATAATAGGGACAACGGGGACAGTAGGGAAAGTAGGGACAACAGGGATAATAGGGACATTGGCCCGAGAGGTCAAATGGGCTCCAGCCCTTTACACTAGGCCCTATATAATCGGACTTTTCAGACAGGATCACGTTACCATTACGATGACTATTCCACCACAAGACATCCAGTCCGTGAATTTTTCCTAAATTGGGACTTTCTGAATTAAAAATGTTCCAAGTACAGATATCATCTTACAGTGCTTCCGGATCAGACTGTCACCACTTATACTCTTTGATTGTTTCAGCAACCCTAAGGTGAAACTGCGCTAAACTACTTTTAGACGTTAGCTCGGAATATTATTAGCCCGCGTATGTATCGTAAAATACAGGAACGTATTATAACCAGATCTTCCAATGCCTACAAGTCCACGTGTTATAATTCAAATATTCTCTTTGCCTGGAAATAAGCCTACGAGAACGACCTTAGTAGTTGATCACTACTGAAGTGTAACAGAAAATGGCTTCTAATCTAACTTAATCAGCGCCCGAACTTATTCATGATATGTTGATCTGCGGTGAATTAACTACTTCCCAGATGGCTGAAGCTACTGGTTGCAGTAAACGCGCAATTATCCGACTACGTGCTAATCTTCAATTATTTGGTAGTCTTAAAGCGCCTCGGAATAATAGCGGACGGCCGCGGAAATTACACCAGTGATGTCAGAAGCTCTCTGTGATTATTTACTGGAAAAGCCAGATGCGTATCTACATGAAATGGAGCTCGTTTTGCTGGATGAATCAATATCTGTGCACCGAAATCCACTATTAGTGATGCGCTTCGCTGTAAAGGGTGGTTAAAAAGGCTTATCCAACAGCAGCAAGAGAACGAAATGCTGATCTACGGGATGAATATGTACATTTTTCCTCCGAGTTCTGCTTGTACCACCTGGTGTATGTTGACGAGTCTGGGTGTGATAAATGGATTGGCTTTCGGAGGACCGGGTGGTCGCCGAGGGGTACAACACCGATCTAGATATCCAAATTCCATCGAGATCAGCGCTATCAGATACTTCCGGCTTACTCTCAAGACGGGGTTGTACTTTCTCGTGTGTTCCGGGGCTCCACTGATGCGGCATTCTTTGAAGACTTTATTAAAGAACTCCTCGAGCACTGCGGACAATGACGCGAGCCTAAATTGGTTCTTATCATGGACAATGCATCTTTCCATTACTCCGAACGCATTGAGCAAATGTGCTTTGAAAAAGGTGTCAAATTGGTATATTTACCGCCTTATTCACCGGATATAAACCCAATCGAGGAGTTCTTCGCTAAGCTTAAAGCCTTTATTCGGCGGCATTGGCAGTCATATAAGGACAATCCTGGACAGGGATTTGACACATTCATAGAGTGGTGTGTTGATAAGGTTGGATCACGAGAGCAAAGTGCAAATGGACACTTTCGCCACGCAGGGCTGACCATCGAGTATCATCAAGATGCAGAGCTGTAAATTGTAGCATTTTTACACATGCTGAGGTGTTGTGGATGAAGTTTATTATTGGCTGATTATACACTTAAATTAAGGTTTTGTCTATAGTCTCAACCTAAGTTAGATATATAAATTTAGGGCTAGAGGTCCAGGCCTGACTAGTGCACGGCGGGAGAGAGTGTTCGGGTCCCTTTCCGAGGATATAAATAGTGATGTCATTTCTAGTTGCTTAATATATATAGACTGACTATATAAAAAGATGTGGACAAGAGCATGTCTTTAATAACATTCAAATTTATTAGTAATTACCTCGGACGAGTTTCTTTTCCTCAACCCAGTCATTGACCTCACCAACCTGCGTGCAGCTCCGATCTTCACACCTTGTCCAATGAAAAAGACGGGGTCTTGATTGTGATATAATTATTTTAGATCAAGACAGTTTTCCAGCGTCACATCACGTGCCTTCCCGACATTGCCCTTGAAACTTTCTGTGCTTAACCGTGACAGCTGCCAAGCGGTATATTCCTCTACTGCTAATT